CCAGGAATGAACAACTAAAAGCAACATTTCAAAGCCGACGGGCATGTTTCATCTCAATATCACACAGTTAGGCCACAAGACTCTCTTCCATTCCTGGGCTGATCCAAAGCAGCCCCAACTCCTCCCCCTACCCTGTGCAGAGCAATCCCTCCCATGCTGCGGAGGACGTTGCTGTTACGGCTCCACTCTGTGCTCGCAGCTTCACACAGCTCCCGCGGAGCCACCGCCTGGGAAACGCGGCGGCCTCCTTACCCTCAGGCCGCAGGACCTGCGAGGATCCTGGTGACCCATCGCTGCTTCCTGCATGCTAGCAGGTGCAGAGGGGTTGGTGGGAGCGCCAGCGCCAGTTTGCCAGCAAAGTTACTTTGCCGAACTGAGACACACAAGGCAAACATGTCGGAGTCACGAGCAGCAGAGGTTTTGCCAAGGTGGAGGAAAAAATAACATTTTATTTACGCTTTGCTAGTTCTTTACTTTCCTTCTATTTTTAGTCAGACTTTTTCATACTTGGGTTTTAGCTGCTTGCTCCCTATTTACACAAGGGGAAGAGCTGCAGCCAGAACATCATTAACTCCAGTTACAACAAATAATCCAGATATTAAACCTTGCTAGATCAGGAATTAACACCAGCTTCAGCCCTAAACAGCCGAAGAAGGCAAAAGGCTTTGACCAAACCGTGTTTAATCATTTACAGTCCAAGACAAAGCGTGACTCCTGTCTAAGAAATAAGTGTTTTAGGAGGCAGGCTTGGCTTGTCCTCGGTTTTATGCAACGTAGCATTATCGAAAACTTGAGCAGCTCTTCCTCTTTGCAGCCCAGCAGCTGTGCTAGGAACTGACATTTTGTGTCACTGGGAAGATTTATAAAATATTTTGGCCATGAGCATTTCATGCTGATCCCACCTGCTATTTGAAGGCCGTTGCTAGCGTCCCTGAAACAAACAGGACTCCACGCAGAAGGGAGGCCAAACCGACTTCGTAAGCAGTCCACTAAAGACGAAGTGGGGATTTAGCACTGGTGATTTATGTGCCGATCCTAAAGCAGGCAACCTGCAGGTATCAGTTTGGGGTGATCAAGCAAAGGCTACGCTGCTGGCACACACACAGCATCTCCGGATGAGTTTCAGAAATGATCGAGGAAGGCTCAGGCAGCTGGCATCAGCCAGCTGAACTGTGATAAAGGCTTTTGTTCTTAAAATGTGAGGGTTTGTTTTTACAGTTCAAGCTCAGTTCACGCAACCAAAAACACCAACAAGCTTTACAGAACTGCAGTCATTAAATTAATAAGAGTAGTAGCAAAGAAAAAAGAAAATCAATGTTTTCCGTAGCTTCAATTGTACCTATTCCCCAGCTAATGCTGACAGTGTGATTCAACAGCCCATACAAAGTTACTGTGCAAAGATCTTTCAAACCACTAATACCATGGAGAGGGGGCGAGGAAAGAGCTAAAAAGCAAAGGCTCGTCTTAGGAGACGAGATCCAGGCCGGGTGTAACCCTGAACCTCAGCCCTTCTCTCCCATGGCCAAAACTCACAGGATCGCTCATTTATACCAGCAGTTAGAAGTGAGGCCTTCTCTCCACTGCTCCCACCAGCTCTCTCGGCACGTGAAAGCTTCACACTGACAGTGGGGTGGGGAGAAGAGTGGGTGTTCACCTCCTGGAAAACACAAAGGCTCAGACCTACGAGCAGATTACTCACAGCCGATTCGGGGGTGATTCGAGCTTGCTCAGCCAGTGCGTTTGCTTGGCACTCTCCTCGGGGTGTCTTGCACCCGCCATGGGCCGGGGGAACGGCACAGACAGCGCGCTCCCACGCTCGGCCCGGCCTCAGCTCCACAGGCCGGCACGCGCGGGATGCCTCGGCTTACGGTCACACCCTGGAGGAAGTTGAGGCACCTTCAGGGCTAAGAGGAATGGACAGAATTTCTCCGAGCGATCTTTTTGACAGCGGAACAAACTATTTCCCCCCATTCACCAAAGCAGCAGTAGTATTTCAGGCAGCTGGTAAATGAAATCGGAGGGACCACTCTCCCTGACATCCAGGAGACAGAGAGCTTGGGAGCCACCTCTCATGCCACATTCAACAGTTCTTTGGATCGACAGCTTCAGGGACCTCCAGTCAAGGCTCCTCCAATGCTCGGGATTGGAGAGGGCCACTTTTCTGTGCAGATAGGGCTGGACAGGTCTCGGCTGATGCCCCAACCATGCACGAGTCTCCTGGTTCACAGGAGCTGTTTGCACATAAGCAGACCCAGTTAGGAACTGGGATACGACTGGCAGAGCCAGAAGGGACAAGATTATATTTAATTTACTTTCCTAAACTTCACCGATTTCAAGGCAACTGTCTCTCGTAAGGTGCCTATCACGCGGGATGACTAAGGAACAGACTCAAAACACTGCAATGCTCAGCTCTGACTTTTGAGTGGGACTACAGTTAACGCTTAACTCCCCGCTGCTTGAGTAATTAGGAGATCAGAAAGTCTGTCAACAGCTTGACTTTCACTCCACCAGATGATTACACCTTTGAAGCCTGGCAGTTGCAACTATTTTGCCTTCAGAGGCATTAATCCAAAGGGTTGGGAGAGTCTTAGCAGGTACAAAAGAAACCTAGGTTTGGACTTTGCTCCTTGGCAGTCATTTCCCTCTGCCAAATTACCTATTCAGCTCTGTCATTAACACCATTTCATGGCAGCCTTTTCACAAAGGTGAGGAACAAGAAACTCACTTTCAGAGAAAAGGAATCCATTACTAAATAATTAGTCTGACTTCATGTCTCATCCACCCACACCAGAGGACTATAACCTAGCTAGGAAATAAGAAAACAAATAGAAAAAACACCCTTAGCTGCCTACAAGGAACTGATGTTAGGGAAGGACTGCTCCCTCTGGCAGCACTCGGAGACATTGCAGAGAGGAAAACATTGTAGTCCTCAGCCCTCTTTTACCCCCCAGGGAGCACTGCACAAGCCTGTATCAGCGGATTTGTACTTATCATCGATATTGGGAGTGGGTTGGACTCTCTCCTCCTACAACTCTGTGTCAGCTGCCCCAAATCATCTATCAGCTCTCCTCGCACCCGGGTAAAGCTATTAACTTGGCAGGGAGATTAAAGCGCGCTTAGACTGGCAGCTCCGCTGTGTTCGGTACAGAGTGGAGCATGCCATCAGCGCTCGGCAGCTCAGAGACAAAACAGTAGTACGTAGGCAAGGAGGAACCAGCCCAAACTTTTAAAGAGGGCACCAAGCCCTCTTCAAGTACCTGTTAGCACAAAGAAGCCACTTCTCCATGGCACAGAGCTGCCCCGAAGCCACGTGCGCCTGCGGGGAGAACGTGGGCTAGTTCCACGTTCAGAGATCAAGCCCAGGAGGTACAGAGATGGCCCAAGAGACAGGCAAAACAGCCAGACAGCCTACGGCAGGACTGTCCAACCTCATTCACCACGCTAGGATGAAGCCTCGTAGCTCATTGATTCAAAGTGTTATCTATCACAGTCCTTCCTGCCCCAAAAGCCAGATGTGATGCCCCAGAAATGCTGGCCTGACAAAGCAAGTCCGGTCTTCGGGGCTGCAGGGATAAAACACACCCAACTGTGGCATTCCCACTTCTCCAGGAGTGAATGAGGGGATCACAGCTATGGCTCGACCAAGTCTTTGTGCAACAGCTGGCAGCAGGCTCCAGCTCAGCACAGACCAGATGAATTTCTCCATCCAGCTGACTGCACATGCTCAGGGACAGGGAGTATTTGGGAAACTTTGCAGTTGTCTTGGGAAGCCACACGGCAGACAGTCCACGCTGCTGCCCTGATCCTTGTCACCCCACAAGGAAAAGATGCTTTCCAATGCCTTTTCTTCACCCCTTCTAATTAAGGCCTGCAGAATGACTTCTAAATCACAGCAATCAACCACACAAGACCCCACAGCATTTATCCTGTTCCCCACTCCAATGGCCATGGAAACTTTCAGCTGCCATGCACCACAGAGGGGATGGAGGAGAAATTCCTGGTGCAGCTCCCTTCCCAGGGAAAGGAGATGGTTCCGCCATCGCACACAGAGTTCGGAAGTGCACAATCCCCCTCTGCTGAAGGGGGAAACCATGAGAGTCAGGGCTGGAAGCGATCAGAGCTCTTTGCATACATGCTACCAAGGTAAGGGCTACAAGGAGAGGATCAAGGAGGCATAGAGGGAAAGCAGAGAGCTGCAACCTTCCAAAGGCCTGGGAAGGAAACATTCACGTCCACAAGCAGGAGCCAAAGCTCAGCATATTAGCAAGACCAAGAGCAGTTAAGTCAGTACACTGGGGGGGGGAGGGGGGGG